CAAAATTAAGTGCGCTGCATGAACAGATGTAATGATTAGTTTTATATTCAAGTAACATTTGTGGTTTCTTTGTGGCTTTATCAGAATTCGTCCTCAACCGGTGGTCCATCTGGCTGATGCAAACTTAGAGCATTAAGCTTCTTTGCCACAGCGAGGTGAGATGTGGTAAACAAACAAAGAGCAATCTAGTCCACTGATAGATTAGGAGGCTTTGTGGGTTTAGAAAATAGTAAGAAACATGCAACAGACTCCAGGTCTAAGATGGAGCCTGGAAGGTCAGTGAAATACAAGCAAATCTCCTTTTCCAAAACAGGGCTTTGTATGAAATAGGCCACAGGAATATATGCATCCATAACTAGTGGCTGGTAAAGCTGCAGAAGCTAATGTATGTTATGTAAATGTTTACAAGGGAAGAAATACAGAATGTAAACTACAGTGTTAAAACTGCCAGTTGTAGGATCAAAAGCCTGAGAGAAAAATGAATAAATGCCTCGCTTAGCTGTAAATGCGTTTCACAATTCGTATTGGGGTCATTTGAGGCAGCCTGTTTGACCTCCATCAAGACAAAAGGACACATGATTCATCATTAAATCGCCAGTAACACGAAGGTTGTGTATGACATATGGGACATGTGACCAGATTACAGTTCAAAGGGTATAAGTGTAATGGTTTGTGTTGTTTACTGTATTTAGAATATGGTACATAAGTACAGATCAGAAAATGACAGGAGAATGAGAGAGACCTGTATTTACTTTGCAGACAAACAAAGCAACATCTGCTTGTGACCTATTGTCACCGCTTCCCTATGTCTGTAGGTTATAACCATGAATTGGTCACATCACCTATAAAGTTGTGTACAATGCAGTATACTTCACTGATCAACTACTGCTGACACCTACAGGAGGTGGACAAAAGAAACTAAATCCCTGCTGATTTATCGCTACAAAAAGGAGAGTGTCACTTAACACTTCATGTTTTTAAATGTGCTTGCTTTATCTTCTTTTTTTTATTTTTATTTTCTTGCTTTATGTATGTTTGTGTCCTACATACCTACTAGCATACTCTAAAACTAATCAGGTCCATTACTTTCTCAACATCCTTTTACCATTGATTTTTGTAATATGGTTCTTTCCTTTATAATGTATTATTTTATTTGCTTGCAGTATGTTTGTCCTATGTATACTTTTTTGAAAAGTGCACTGGAACCTTGCAGCGTGGTGTTTCTGCACTTTAAATAAAAATGGATTGATTTATTGATTGTTAGCATGCTAACATTTGCTGCTTAGCACTAAACACAAAGTACAGCTGAGGGGGCAGTCGTTAGTTTTGTAGGTTACTTGGTCATAAACCAAAGTATCGGACCAATCAACATTTTGAACTGATAGAGGTGCTACATGAAAAATAAGAAGATCCCTTAAGACTGTCTGTTCCAAATTACCACCATGGATGGTAGCAAAATTGAACAGGTCTCTGCATATAAATACATTGGAATAGGGTTAGATGTTAGGCTTTCTTTAAAAGCACAACAAATTCAACAAATTGGGAAAAAAGTTAAAAATCAAGTTAGGCTTCCTGTATAGAAACAGGGCCTGTCAGACATCAGCAAACAGAGAAAAAAATGTTCAGGCTACTTTTATGTCAGTCTTAGACTTGGGATATTTTCTTTATGCATGCTTCAGCTACCACATTAAAACTACTGGATGCTATTAACCATAGTGCGAACAGGCTTATCACCGGTGATAGTTATAGAACACATCACTGTATTTTATACCGTTAACGTGGGATGGACCTAAGATAAGATAAGATATAACTTTATTAACCCCCCGTGGGGGATTTATTAATTACTTTATTAATCCCCCTCGATATAATCAGGCACAAATCTGTCAGTTTGGTGCTGTGGTATTGTGGAGCCCTCTCTCTCTGTGAGGCGTGAGCAACATGCTCTTTTTCTTATTTATAAAGCACTTCTTTTAAAACTACTTCCCTACATATTCTCCCTCATTTCCACGAGAGTAATAAATATAAACACAAGATTACAGACGTGGATTACTTTAGAGACTCCAGCGATGCTTTCAGCTCTTTCGCTCCATATTTATGAAACAAACTCAAGTTAAACACTCTGGTGTCACTTATCCAATTTAGAAATGTTATGATGTTGAATGCAATTGTTTTCCTTGAATTGTACATCTTGGTTTTGTTTGTTTTAAGTCATATATTCACTTGTTTATGTGTCTACTGTACATGTTAACAAGTGTACACAGGGCACAGCCTAAAAAGAGACTCAGGGCTCAAACTGTTTTCCCAAAACTGAGACAATTCACTCGAAAACCACACGCGTCAACCTCATGTTGGCATTAGAAAAAAACAGTCTGGGGATCATCAAAGTCAGTGCAATTCATCCTCTGGAGACTGCGAATGTCTACAGAATTTGACAGCAATCCATCCAGTGCTTGTCAAGTTATTCTTATATATTCTTAAACCTGACAAATGGACCTAAATTGGCTCTAACCAGATAATATGACTCACCTTTTCTAAGCACTGAGTATTGAACCTCATTACCTTTTTTTCCTGACCAAAATGTGTCCTTCAATATTGCAAGGTGTAAAGTACCAAAAGCTAGCATTTAATGTCTGGTGAGATTATAATAATAATAATGGCTAATCCTGATTTACATATTGTTAGATCAGAAAGTTTCAGATTTTAGACTATTTTATTAATTGTGTTTAGACATAATTTCATATTGAACTTTGGCTTCTTTTGTTAATTAAAATGGATTCTTATAGAAAAACACGTATTTCTCAAAAAAAAAATTCAGGTATCACATCTGCGCTAGTGGCCCTGCGATGGACTGGCGATCTGTTCAGGGTGTACCCCGCCTTTCGCCCAAAGTCAGCTGGGATTGGCTCCAGCCCCCCGCGACCCTGTACTCAGGATAAGCGGTTGACGATGGATGGATGGATGGATGTATCTGCACTAGTGTTGAAAAACAAAATACTGTAACAATGATTTATTTAAATTTCCTGTCCCTTGCTTGTAACTGCTTTCTCTAAAAGACATTATCCCTGTTAATGAAACTGGAGAATGTCAGTGTTGTGAGTGTTGTGGCTGTATGTGGCGACACTGGCTCACATGGAGCTGCTCTCTGATTAGCTCGGAGGGCAGCAGCAGCCTGCAGTAAGATGCATAACTCAGCGTTTTACTTTCCACTGGCTGCACTCGCTCGTTCTACCTTTCCTGCGATGAGTCACCAAAACAAGCGCTTCAGAAATCATCCTGCGATAATAGTAAAGGACGGATGGCTCGCTTTTTGCCCTCTTTCACCATTTCTCTCAAAACCCATGCTGATTCTCTCTCTCTCTCTCTCTCTCACACACACACACACACACACACACACACACACACACACACACGACAGCAGCTAGTCTCATAAGGAGAACAGAAAGGGAACCATTGCATAATAAAACAACTACTGTTAGAGGACTAAAAATAACTCAGCTACACCCACATATGTGCAAACACACATACACACACACTCTCTAATGAGCATGTGCATAGACATGGTTAGACATAAATGCATGTGCACCATTACATAAATGAAGCAATAGAATCAGTGATGCTGAACAAATGATCTCATTGAATTAAATCTTCTTTTTGCTTTTCTCTGCAAAAAGAAAAACCAGCCACCTTGTTGTTGCTTTGTGGAGATTTAAGACTTCCCTTCTGGGCTTGAGTCAAAGAACAGATCTGCCTCTGGCAAAAACAAACACACAGGATGGGACATGGGCAGCACAGTTTTACAGAGAGGAGGAAACGGCGTGTTTGTCCAACTGGATTGGAAGATATGAATCTTACATGTTTACTGTCTGAGAGCAAAACAGTGCGCTACTGGCTTTGAGTTGTGTGAGCTTACAGGAGACCGGTGAATTACTTGGCTGTAGTAAAAAACAGTAGTAGGTACTTCAGATAAGATATCCGGATGTGAGATATGGCGTTCTCTTTTTATACCACATCTTCTCATAATCCCTTTCTCTCTCTCTCTTTGTCTGCTTTTCCTCTGTGAAGGGAGTAACACACCCAGACCATCACACTCACACATGCAGACAAACACCGGTAGCTACAGTTAAAGCAGAGACGGTGCACTGTATCTGAGGAGAGCTGTCAGAGTAAATCTGAAGCCATAAAACAGAATGGTGCAGGCTATGGGAACATGGAGGAGTCAAACTAAAGGCAACAAGGGGGGGGGGGGTCTAAAAGGAATGTTTCATAAATAGAACAGAAAACAGAGACTGGAGAAGATTTGGGATTTGCATACCAACATTTAGCAAGGAAAGGCTCAACATGCCTTACATAGGCTCGGATATAGTATGGGGATTTTAACATAAGACACATTTGCTATATGCTGAGTGGATCCGTCATAGTAGGCTTATATAGGTGTGTGTGTGTCTGTGTCAGGAGGAGGGGTGGGGGTCTGTAAACCTGCCTGGCAACCACCAGAATAAACACCCTCCTCCTGCTGCTATGGTTGTATGCCCCCCCGCAGACACGGACACTGGCCATGTTCAACGTAACATAGCGTTTTAGTTTCACCCGGTGCCATGTAGGCCTTATGTGGAGAAATACATGATGCTGTTGTTTCCATGACAACATTAGCCTGGTCTAAAACCTGCACCCAAAACACTGGGTGGGTCCGGCCGTGACAATAGAAGGCTAATACATTGGGAACTGATATGAATGATTCGCCCAGTGTATTACGGCTGTAGAGCGAATTGTAAAGGACGCCTATATGGAGCTGAGGCCCGGTGGGTGGGCCCCTGGATGCTCATAACGCTGTCTCTACAAGGAGGAAAATGAGCCATAGGATGTCTAAGATTCTTCACTACATTACTGGCTGATGTATTATAAGATAAAATACAGATTTAAGCTGGGGGCAGAGGGCTGAGAGTCGTTGCGCATCTGTCATGACGCGTCAAACAGAGCGCATGGTGCTGGCCGCCGCTTACCTCATTCTGGTCTTTTATTCAGCCCGAGATGATGGCACTGATGAGGCTGACGAATAGGACCAAAAGTCCGCTTATTTTTTCTGTATACACAGTCTGGGAGGCTTTAATCAGCTCCCACCTTGCGTCCCTTGTGCGTCTGTAGCGATATTACAGGCTGATGATGAGTCGTGTTGCAGAAACGCTAAGCGTTTTCTCCCATCCGCTTTGTGCTCCGTTGTCTCTGCTCTCCACGCGCGCTGCCGCCTATCCTTAAGTCCATGTTCTGCCGGGGTTTGTACTCGGTAGAAGACGGTGAATGGTGGTCGTCAGCCGCCGCCTCCCTCATGCCATATTTTCTTCCCATTCGGAGCGTTTTGGTGAGGTGGAGAGATTTCGGGGAAAATGCTAATACTGCTTTTCGAAGGGAGAGGTGGGGGGGCAGACCGGCTCAACGCTGCCCACCTGCGGCGAAGACGCACACATGCAGCCCACTAACACCACCTACCTACCCCACCCCGAGCTTACCAGTATGCCTATAATGGTGGTCTGTAGACGTTTTAAGTTTGGTCCTCTGCTGTAGTATCTTTAACATGCCCATTAAATAATTTTTATGTTAGTATGCTTTATGCTAATTTTTAAAAAGAGTCAAGAGTATAAAAGTGCATTATATTTACACATAACACTGGCTTTTGCTGGATCATGCTCTCAAAATAAAGAAGATAAAAACAAATTTCATAAAGTGGACATAAGACACAGCCTCATAGGAATTTCATGTTGCATTTACTTTCAGACAAATGTTAAATGTTCAATGGTATTCTGTAGCCCCAAGAGTTTAGTGGTAAGACAAATCATGTTACATTCACTCTGTAGAGTGGTGACTTTATATCACTGCTGGAGATTCAGTAGTTTTCCTGATAAGACAGCGCCAACAATCAACCAGTAGAAATTCAAAATAATACCAGTATGCCTCGTATAAGTGGCAGTTCATGGTCATACTAAAATCTGCTGATTCCTCAATCAAAGACATCTTGTTTATTCGTGAACACGTGTAATAACCATAAGATGACAAGTGTGACGTGCTACACACCGCACAGTGGGTGTATGGACAGGACACAGCTTGCAAGGCTGAAAGCAGACATTATTGGTTCAAGAAAAGCTCCAGTAAGTGCTAAATTGTGATTTGCTTATTCCATTGTGCAGGTAAATAGACCTGCTGTATGTCCTTGAAGATTCTCAGTTATCCAGGTCATAGTTCTCTAAGGTGGGTTAAAATCAGTGGCAACTGGACTTGGTTGAAGATCCTTGAAGATGTTTCACCTCTCAATTTCAAGTATCTTTAACCAATTCCAGGATTTAACCCACCTTGGAGACCTGTTGTTATATTTATCAGGCTGAAGCAGTGCATTATAGTAAAAAAAAATCACCTCAAGAAAGTTCAATCAGTTCTGTTCAATATCTCATCAGTGACTGAGGAGCATGTCAGACGTAAACAGTTACAGTGTAATGGTCTCACACTTATCCTTCCTAAACCGATCCCGGTGCAATAAAATGCAGATAGATATAGATTTGAAAAGTCATCATCATCACTGAAAAAACCCAACACATGCTTGATTTTCATTTTCCTTGAATCTCGAGGCAAAGGACAGATACAACAACTCATTTTGCTCATATCTGTTTCAAGCCTTTCTGTATATTTACACATTTGGGAATAGACAGGGATTTATTGTAGGAAAAACTCAAAGGAACTTGTCAGTGAGAGAGTTGACTCATGATAAATAAAAAATAGAAAAGGAGCCTTTTTTAAGACCAGGAAGCACAAAAACATGTTAAGATAATGTTGTGGAAAATGGTTTAAATCCTAACTCTGAATCCAGATAATGTAATTTTTCATCGCCTTAAAATTATTCCCCCAAATGATCACAGTTTCTGACATCGACAGTATTGTCCTTGCTGCATTTAATTAGCATTTGCCTAGACTGTATATGTCATTTTCATACACTATTAGTCAATGTAAATAAATCAACAATGATTGGACAACAGCTTAATCTGATATTAACCGTGCTTGATGCTTCTCTGCATGTTTTAGTGAGATGTGTTTAGGGCTTTTCTCTGATAAGTCAATGTTAATGACAGCGAAGAGTCCTGCTTCACTAGTGCTTTCCTGAGTTGTTAAATACCAAATAAAAGAAAGTTTAACAATTTTAAAAATCATTACGTTCTTTCTTTCCGTACACAGTTTTTGTTCCAATGCTCTTCTCCAGCGAGACAATATTCAGTGGAACGATTCTGACAGGCAGCGAAATAAACCTCTTCAGTTTATCATCTGTGCACAAAACAAGAACAGTGAAAGCCAAACTGTACATATGCAGTCAGAAAGTCAGAGCCTTTGGTTCTGTTTAGGTGGATTTGATCCGTTTGAGTTTGTATCATTGGTGGGTAGGCTACAGTACGTGAGAGAGAGGAGATTCTTTTTACATGTAGTGTGAGTAAAGAAAAATTAGAAATATTCAAGATTTTTTGTATTTCAAGCAACCTCACATTACACCTCCAAACAGTTCATCTCTTTTGGGATGTGAGAACAGATCAGGGAGGAAACCTCTGGTTCCTCTTCTGTCAATTCACTTCAGTTCAGGTGGATCCGCCTTTTTTTTTAAGCATCTGAGTTAATTTAAGTTTGGTTCGGTTACGTTTGGTGCAGTTCAGTTCAGTTTGCTCCAGCAGCAGTAAGAAACCGTGAGTATCTGTCTGTGTCGGCTCCCTCAGACTATCCTCCACTGCATCACGCTCATGTCCTTCCCTCCTGTCGACACCAGGTAGCTATCGTCATGCAGGAAGTTTACATTGGTTACGTGACTGCTGTGGCCGCCATAAACATGGCTGGGAGCCTGAAAAGAAAAAGTAAAAAACTATCTTTGACATCCTTTTGCCTTTTACAAGAGCTTAATCACCTTGTTACAGTGATAAGATGTATATTGTGGCAGTACACAGTATCTTACCCTGAACTGTGAACAGGGGTATGAGAATAGATGGACCTTCCCAAAGTCGTCTCCAGTAACTAGGAGGCTCTTATCATTGGTCCTGCAGACAGCGTTGATGTCAGTGCCGTCTGAGCCGTCGGGCCACAAGCCTGAGGAGCGGAGGGCAGTGGAGACGTCTATTGAATGGACATTAAAACACAAATACACAGCTGAAGAGGGAGACACGAGGAGCCTTCACTTACCGAAGACTTGGAAGCCCAGAGGGCAGGTGTAGGTGGCCCACTCGATATCTCTGGTGGTCTCCACACTGACCACCTGCTTACACACTGATGGGATCCCTGTGAAAATACACAAACCAAATACACATAACTTTGTATCATGAGTACTGTTACTTGCCAATGTTTGTATACCTTATTGTGCTACAAAACACAAAAATAATGTATGAAGTTAATCAGTTAATCAGCTTTTTACTGCCAGTGATGGGATCCTACATCAACACATTCATTACTGCCAAAGTTACCACAGTTTTTTTTTTCACATTTACTATAAATGTGTTCTTGATGATCTTAAGTGGGTGGGGGCTCAGTTGGAAAAAGGTAAAGTCACACATTTCTGTGCACAAATCAGAATTTATCAATGTTTGAATTAAAATGTGATCACAGTAGGTGGGTCTGATCAAACCACACCCATACTTTTTTTTAGGGTTCTTCAGGGAGACTACTCTCCCCTTGTTGGATTCAAACTCCATAAATATTGGGCAGCTTATCAGATATCAAGTCATAACTGCTGCTAACTGCCGTTGGCAGCAGAACTTTGCAGGGCGAGCGGGCAAAGCAACCGGGCTCAGCAGCCTCCCAGTGAACACGGAGCCAGTTTGACAACAGGGAATACAGTACTGAGGTGATTTACCAAGGCTTCGGCCAGGAATCTGACTGTGGATGACGAAGACGTACTTGTGTAACATAGCAAACTTGCCGCACGCACACATCTCCCAGCAGAAACTACGGTGGGAGGCCTGATCAATAATACTAGTACTATATAGTAGATATCGCCTCTTGAGGCACAAGTGGTATTACAACACAGGACGGGCCAGGGATAGCTCATTAGCATGCTAACTTTAGTAGATATCTCTGCAACACAATGGGATATATCCTGTATATCTGTCTTTGACATTAAGTCTGTTGCTAACTCACATTCTGTTGATAATGTTAGTTCATTTTTTGAGTGTAAACTCTGGCCATATCTTGCACATTGTACCTTTAAACTAAACATTTTTTTTCGCAAATCTTTAATCTGATTGTTTCTTATTAAATCATTAATATTTACTTTTAAGGAGAACTACAGAAACTAAGACTTGATCTTTTCCTAATGGTAAGCAACAGCAATTAATGATAAATTTTGCATTATTTAATGCATTAAATTATCATGAGTCATGCATTAGTTATGCACATGCTCAGTTTCCTCTAAGTGCTGCTGATAAGATACTGAGCAGGTGCTCTTTAAATGAGAAAGATAAAGGAATCAACTGATGTGGGAATTTCCCACACACTTCAAATATTTCATCTGTAATGTGACACAATCATAAAAATATCAAAATAGCAAAGGCTGTGAGAGGCTGACAGTGATCATACTTACAATACAGTATCTCATAGTCCCCTGAATTTGATACCAGGTACTGGGAGTCCACTGACCAGTCCAGATGGGTGATGAAACTAGAGTGTCCCTGAGTTAAGATACAAAGGACCACATCAAATTATTTATTTTTACAGATACTTACCTAACTCCTTATCCTATTTCTGGACTAGAGGTAGTATGATTATCCAAACACCAGATATGCTCCTAAAAATTATTTGATATGGCAACATTCAGTAATTCTGTTTACGTGGACATGCGCTGTATGACTCAGCTTGTTGTCATTTGTAATTTTACAGCTTCTTTAGGAACACACCGTAAGGACAGAGTGTACAGAGTGGAGGCCCAAATATAGAGTTGAGGAGGGAACTAAATATAAAGATGATGCTGGGAGGAACTAAAAATAAAAGGAGCTGTGGATGAAGGGGGGATTATAAATACAAGTGCTCACCGAGCACTTCCCAACTCGACTGTACTTCCTCCCATTTTCTGCCACAGCGTAGACATAGATGTAGTTGTCATGGGAACCGATGGCCAGGAAGTTACCATCTAAATAAAAGAGAAGAAAACAGGAAGATTATTGGTAGTAAAAGAAAATAAAAAGCAGATGTTTGCAGATGTTACTTTAATAAAGTAGACTGTGTTGGTTGGTTGAACAGTATTTGGAGGGATATGGATTATTGGCATGTATGGATTAAGGTTCAATTAAAGTTGTAACAGTCTTGATTATTTTTTCAAATATGGCTGAAACAAATTTCTACACTCTTTACAGTATATCCTCCCCAGGTGTCAGTGTGGTGTGATGTAAGTGGGAGATTAAATGCTTTGTAAAAAGCTTTGTACAAGCATTACATTTGTTTCAAGGCATCCCGAGGTTTTGGTACAGGAGTAATTTTAGTTAATAATAAATTAATTTCATTTAATTATTGTTTGTAATGTAATGTTTTTAGAAATATTACTCTTTCAAACCTATCCTGGGTTAAAATCAAGGGCAACTGGACTTGGTGAAGATTCTCTGAGACGTTTTGCCTCTTGTCCAAGAGGCTTCTTCAGTTCTGGCTGACTGGCAGAAAGTCCTAGCTATTTAACCTCTGCGGGCTCATTATCAAGGTTATGGATACTGCTCAGACTTGGCCTCATGTGACTCTAACGACCATAATGACAGTCGTTACAATAGCCAGGAGCACTAATGAACCAAGTGGTATCCGTCACCTTGAAATCCCCACAGAGGTTAAATAGCTGATTCCCAGCTTGTCATTCAGAACTGAAGAAGCCTTTTTAACAAGAGGCAAAACGTCTTGGAGTATTTACAAACAAGTCCAGTTAGCCTTGATTTTAACCCACCATGGACAACTATGACCTGGATGACTGGGAATCTTCACAGACATCTTTAAACCTGAAATCATAATTTGACATTTAATAGTTTTCCTTGACATCAATGCATACTTTGCTTTAAATGTCAAAATAACAACAAGGGTAAACAGACAGTAAAAACCACACTCAAGGGAGACACATGTCAGCAGTTATAACCGTACCGGGCCCATAGCTCATAACAGACAGCTGTTCATTCCCATCTGTGTGCATTGTGACAAGATCCTTGGAGTCAGTGTCGAGTACCAGCCACCTGCAGAATCAATGGCAATATGTTTTTTAATTAATTAAAAATAATAAAAATGTGCTCTAGTGCAAATGACTGTGTTCTTATATTTTTATTAGCTGAAGCAGTCAGATAAAGGCTAAGTTTTTTTGGTGATGGGATTTCCTACCTGCCAGTTTGGGTTCCTATGGCAACCACAGCTCCAGACGGGTGGAAGCCTGCTGATTGGGCAGCATCCTGTCAAAACCAGGAAGAAGAGTATATTTAAAGTCCTACAAAATGTGTTGTGCTCATTGTTACTTGATTCGGATGTTTTGAGTTTCACTGTGCATCTCAGTTTAACAGGTGCATGAGCAAGCATGATTCTGTGACATCCCAACTAATCTGGAAACTAATCATGGTTCAATATGCAACTTATACAATTGGGATGTGGACATACACTTAAAATGGACTTTGAGGGGGGAGAAATATATGTAATTTTAAGAATTTTAAATGAGGTAATTGAATTTTTTCATCATATCAGACACGGGCAGTTTGTATGTTGCAGATTTTCAAGTCATATGACTCTGGTTGTTTCCGGTAAATATGTACATTTTAGTTGCTAAATGTGCAGTTCCTGCTGTTTCTCAAGGACATCAGAACAGAAAAAATATTTGCTGGTTCATCATCTGTTGTGTGCTATGCAATTCCCATTACTGACCCCTGGGGGCAGTGTTGACTTAAACTTACATCCATACTCTTCGTCCAGATGAGCTGATGGGTACTGGAATCCCACATGCAGACCTGCCTGTCATAGCCACAGGTGAGGAACTGGGGCTTTGAGGGGTGGACAGCCAGACCCCACAACTCATCCGTGTGACCCTGTAGAGAAGAGGAGAGATTTCTTCATCTGCTACAGCATCACAGGCTTTCAAATGTAAGTTTTACTTTGTCCAGCTCTCAACATCATTCTAGAGCTGCAACAATTAACGATTAATTGGTTGGCTGAAAATTAACATGCAACTATTTTGATAATCGATTTATTATTTTAAGCAAAATGACAAATAACAAATTTTCTGGTTATTGAGGATGTGCTGCTTTTCTTTGTAAATGTTTTTGGGTTGTAAATTGTTGGTCAAACAAAACAAGACATTTGAAAACTTCACCTTGGACTCTAAGTGTGATGGACCTTATTTTCTACATTTGACAGACCAAACAATTAATGGATTAATAGTACATAACTGGTAGATTAATCGATATTAAAAATAGTTGTTAGTTGCAGCCAAACGTCATACTACAAATGTAGAAATAGTGTGCTAGACGGCTGCATCTACCTGTGTAATAGGCATGAATTCTCCATCCAAACTGCCTTGCAAAACAAAGTGCTTGGTGGTCCCGATGAGCACAGTCTCCCCCCTGCCCTCTGCTATGGTCCGGATGGGACCAAACAATTCAGGCACCTGTGGAGAAAATAATGATGTATACCGCTGGTTCTCAAGACTTTTTCACATGAAAGACCCCTAACTGACACAAATTAGATCATAGACCCCCATCTGATAGAATTTTTGCTTTATGTTTTATTAGAGAAAAGTCTATGAAAGCCAAAACCAAAATAGTCATACATTCTGTCTTTGTGTTATGGATAGAATTATTGTGAAAAGACATGTTTACCCTTTTTGCTGGGGACCTCTTAGAACCCCCTTAAGGACCCCTGGGGGCCCCCAGTTCCCACTCTGAGAACCACTGATATAAACCTGGAATCCTGGATTTGCCACCAAGTAAACACCAGTTACTTTTTTACTGCATAAAGTAGTCTCATTAGAGCAAATAAGACATGAGCGATACATAATTCTCATCACTATGAATATCCATGAATCTCATTGAGGGGACAAACCCATCTCATCCTCTCTAATATTTATGATATGGTGCAGTATTCTGAATGCATAGTCTGCCACCTCGGCCGGGACTGCAATTTCTCGCTAATATAAGCAACCTACTTTAAAAACATTTTATTAAAACATATTAACAGAATGTGGTAACAGCAGATCAGATCATTAAGATGCTGTAGAGCTCACCCATGCATTCTTGTAAATAAATAATTTTTCAAAGTATGACTCAGGCCTGTGCAGTTCACCATTTAAATTATGTGTGATTTATAGACTTATTTTTCAAAAAAGAAGCCTAGGAATAATTTCATTTTCGTGATTTCTGCCAAATTTCTTTTCACCTCCACTGTTTGTATCTGGTGGTAGCTGCTGTCCCACGAGACAAGCCTGCGGTCTTTCCCTCCAGACACCAGCGTGCCATTCCTCAGCGTGGACAGAGCAAAGATGCTGCCCTCGTGAGCTCCTTGGATGACGTGGCTGATACGATTAGTGCCTGCTTGACAGAGATGGGATGAGATGGATGAGAAGGGTCAGTTGGAGAGAGTCCAACATAAAGGTCGGCTGCTTGAGGAGAGCAGATTAACAAACAGACAGATAGACAGGGTGATCAATAGATAAGAGGCAAAAAGAGATAGTGGCATTTTAATGTAATGTGTGTCTAAATGTTGGATTGAATAAAGTTGAAATTAATAACTTAATTAACATGCCTTTTCCCCACACCAGAATGTTGCCGCTTGAGTCTCCTGTGATGGCGTCTCCATTTTCTGCAAAGGTCACACACAACACAAACTTGGGCTTCTCCTGTTTCTGCAAGAAACAGAAGAACACACACACAGTTTCATTTTTGGTAGACTACCACTGATTATCTTTATATAGCTACAGATGGGGTCATAATACAGCCTGGCATGATTGAATTCGTGCCTTTATATCAAACATTATTGCTTTATGTTTATTGGTGTGGAAAACAGTCTGGTGTCCTACCTCAAACAGTCCTTGCTTCTTGACCAGCAAGCCTTTCTCCATGTTCCAGAAATAGAGATGGGACTTGCCGCAGGTCACTATTATGTTGCAGTCTGTCGGGTGAAAGTCCGCAGCAAACACTGACTCTGTGGAGCACTGAACCGAAACACATGAAACAAGAAACAGTGAGCAGTTGAAATGACATGCATAAAGGTTTTATAGACAAATAATTAGAGCAGGATGTTAGGTTACTTCATTTTTAATTTAACAGAGATGCACATACCTTGACCTCAGCTAGTCTGTCCTCTCTCTGCCAGTCCCAGATGGAGAGGACGTGGTCATTGGAGTCGTCAACGACACATAGTGTGTTTCCTCCATTCTACAGAAAAGACACAAACCCATGTTTTATTACTGACAAAATGGTTAGCATATCAAGAGGCAGAAAACTCAGCACAGTCAAAAACATGTCAGAAACTGCCTTAAGCTCCTTGTTAGGTGTTTGCTTACCGACTTGGAGAAAGCCAGGCAGACCAAGGCTCGGTCAAAGAAGCCTGCGCCAAGAACATGGAGGGTATTGAGGCTGACAGAGTCCCACACACGGACATGAGGAGCCAGCTGCTGCCAGAAACAAACACACCAACACAAACAGGGGCACAGCACCAGGAGAGGTATCATCAGTATGAGGCGATGTAAGGCTCGAAGCACTCAAAGAACATATAAGTGAACGCAGAGTGAAGGTTGACCCTCTCAGTGTGCTCATGAAATAGTCTGAACCAGCTGGATAAACAGAGAAAAAATTCTCACTACAATAACAAACGCTGAAATCTAATATATTTTACATAATATATTTATATTGATAAATACCAATAAGAGACCTCACTTACTTTCCCATCTGAAGAGGTGCCTGCTACCTGACCGGTTGCTATGGTGATTTTATCGGGGTGGACCGCCAGGCTGATGAAGAGAAAGACGTGAAAACAGACATGTTAAAAGCCTTTCAACATCAAAAGGAGCGTTTGAATAAAGATGAGCAACGTGCTCACAGAACATGAAAGGCCGCATTTGGTGAGTGAGGTTTTTAAAGCTATGAATATGATATTACTACCACACACTACTGTACTAATGTGAGGGGAAAATGAAACAGTTTAAGATACACGCACCCACTTTTGGATAGCAACAGCCATAGGCTGCATAAGCTCTAACACTTTGTCTTCAAAGGAGTAAGAATCTGTTTGCAATCCATCCTTTGATCTGTAATTCCAAGTGTTCATTAATAATTTGAACTTTTATTAACCCCAGAGTTTAACAACATAATCATGGCTGTGTCTTTTTCAGGTCATTGCACTGCACACTATCCCGCAAACATACCTATACATGTGCGCACAAATGCATGCATGCACACACAACACGTCATGTGCTGTCCTACCACCTTTGTTTGTTTATTTGTGCACTTACTACTTGTCAACTTGTCAAGGAAAGAAAACATGCTGTCAAAAAACTCTGCAGCCTTTGTGGAGCAGGAATAACAGATGAAAGGTAGATGACAGATGTGATATGGGCTGCAGCTGATGATGGAAGCAGCCCCTCGGGTTAGTGTGTGTGTGTGTATTTTAGAGTGCTGCTCACCATTTGATGTCATCTGTGTGTCCAGTGTAGTGTCTCTGTAGCTGCTCATCCACATTGAACAGGACGACCACTGAGGCGATGAAATACACCGTTTCTCCAGTGGGCAACAAGTAAAGGTTGGAGCGACAGTCTCGACCGCGGTAACCATAACTGGACATTCAAATAGGTCAAGGAATAAAAGAAAAATTACATCCAATGTAGAGCTGTAGTTTTTTTTCCCTCAAGTAACAACTTCAAAATCATTTTGAGGGTATTCTATGTAACATTAAAATCTAGGTAGGACATCACCACATCACACCAACACAACTCTAACAGCAAGCAAGCTATAAGAAGAAGCAAAAATTATGTACAATGTAAGTTCTTTAGAAGAAGCTAGTTCGCGATTCTCAGTATGGGTATCATGGCAAGGCTATCAAGGCTAGTCAGTAATATGTCTTTGTTGCTGCATTTGCTCGATGTTTGGCTGTGTTAACAAAGTTATTGTTGACTTGCTTGTTTTTGATCATAAGTAATGTAATAATAAGGAATACACATGTAGTCTACAGCTACGCTCTGAAACGGTCCAAATCACAGAAAAACACACTCGTGAGCTTCAGGAATTCATATTTTGTAGATCAAGAGATGAATCGAGAAAATAATAGGCAGACTAATTAATTATGAAAATAACTTAGTTTCAGCCCTAATCCCAAGGATCAACAAAGCATGGTTCTATTTTCTTACACACTAATCAGCAGGATGACAAATATTCAAATTCACTCTGATATTTAAAAACATGTATATCAGAAACCACAAAGACAATAAAATGCATTCAATCTACTGGATCCAACATGATACTTTCTACTGTGTGCATATGTCCAATTTATCCTTATAATCTTTTTAGTTTACATTGGATTCAACATGTATAAACTATGCAGCCCACATATCTATTTCTGTCTGTGTGTGTGTGTGTGATTCTCTGCTCAGATTTAATCTCTTCTTTGTCTCCCTTATGGCTTACTCCTCTTCGTGTTTCTGCTAGACTGAACAACGCACCACATTCATTCTTTCATCAACAACTGAAAGAGAGAAACCACAAAATGACAGAAAATAAAAATAAAATAGCACAAGAGGAGCTGCTGACTGGTTGTGCCTCAGCCTGCTAGCTGTGTGCAGGTTATTACTGACTGCAGGCTTCAGAGCGATGAGCCGGGCTCTGACTGTGGCAGCGTTACTAACAGATCCACTCTGACAAGCAGCGTTTGTCAGCTTCCTCTCTTAACTACATCACAGTCCAATCTGGATTTACTCTCCTCGGGAGATTACTTTTCAGAACCTTCCATATAACAAGTTGGAATTTTTATTTCCTCTGTAAAATTCCCTGAGCAAAAAAAACTAACTAACAAAAAGACTTCAGTTGGTATCACACAGGTAGCATCTCTGCTTGCTTTTTTGAAACAAGCCGCAGTGAAAGGATACACCCAGTCCAGTTTGAGCTTGTTGCTGGGCAGGTCGGCTCTGGCCTCCAAACTGTAGCTGTCCACCTGGTCTTTGGGCATGTACATGGTGATGGGACGACCCTTCAAGTACATTCTCACATAACCTTCCTCTGGAAAAAGCAACAGAAAGGTTCAGTGAGATAATATCCATGAGGCAAAATACAGGCTGGTGGGATCATGTCAGTTTTTGTGGGTATCGCATTTTTCAAATATATGACAGTATGCAAAACGCACAGACATGACACTGAAGCATAATACAATGAGTTATTATGATGTGCTTGACAAGAGTGACAATGTTGAATGTGTGACAAGATTAGAGAATAATGGAGAGATGTGAAATGATGTTTCTCGTTGCTATGAAAAGGACTCAATTAAAGACAACACATGACAGAATTTGCCAACACAAACAAATCAGCTTTTTAACTGACTTTATTTGTCATTTCAAAAACATTCTTATGTCAACAGAGAGCGCAAAAATGAACTGCAAACACTTTCAAAACTCATAAATAATCAGCTCACAGCAGAGGTTAAAAGACATAAAATGCAGACACAAGCAGAGCAATGGAAATGTTATGAAACAACAACAAAAAAAACCCAGATCCAAGCTCAGAAAAAGGGGATAATGAGAAATCCTCATTAACTTAAAACATGCTAATGCTGAAAAAGAAATCATGCAGAAAACATCAAGGGAACCAAGACAAACAAAATGAACCATAAAAGGTCCACAAATGTATTTTTCAAAACTCATTAGAAGAAAAAACTGTAATATATAAAACAAGTTCCCAACTCCATGTAATATAATGGACTTGTGGATGATATTGGGACTTTGTTTCATTATTATTTTTATTAAGTGATGCAAAAAAGATCTGCTGACTCTGCAACTTTAATATGAGAGGACATGTGGAATGCACAATGACAAGATGGATTTTTAGTTGCCACATATCTGATATAAAGCATGAATTTGGCTCTGTGCTGTCTGGCTCTTACAGCTTGAAAAGTGGAATAAACAATTATATCTAGAGAAGTGAGTGGGGCTATTCTCTATTCTTTCCTGACTTGATTAGTTAGTAACAGATTTGGAAGTACTGGCTGGGAGACTTGATGGGGCTGCGATAACTGGGTGTATCGAGGGGAGAGTACGATGACAAGCTCCCTGACTTTCTCAGCTGGAGGTTAAAATTTGGGGGCTTTCTGGCTGGCGGCACCTTGGCGGCACCACCCTTTCTGGGCGTGCCGGCCCTGCTGCTTTCTGAGGTTTGTTGGGGGTTGGTGGCTGAACGGGCCGTTACAGCCGAAGCCGCGGGGCTGCCGCTGGTCCCCTTTCGTTTGGCAGAGCGGATGAGGTAAATCTGTACTGTGACTATGGATGGGGGACAAGAACAAAGAAGCCGATGATGGAGAGAGGTGGTGCAGGTTGCCAGGAACGGTTGGGTGGAGGGGACCAAACAGGGACAAGCAGGGCAAAGGAGCAAGAAATGTAAAGGGTGGAGGAAGTCAGTAGAATAAGTTAAGACAGATGTAATGGCTTTTTTTGTGTCACATTTAGCAAAAGCATCAAGGAACTGGCAAGACACAAACTATCAAAAGGAAACTATGGAACTCCCATTATAAACCAACAGCATGCTGAGTACTTTTGTCAGACATTGGGATCTTGGTCTGAAGTAGCTGTTAAGAAGTTTGAAGTAATTAAATATAATTCTTTTATTTTTTTCCCACTGTCTCACATGAGTAAAATCCTGCCTTGCTGGTATAAATTAGTGGTTCTGAACCTGGGAGTCCGTACCCATGCACGGGGTTACAAGATTAATCTGAGTGTCGCTAGAAGTTTTGATACACAAATTTACTGTATGTTAAACATTTTTATTTCAAACGTCCATAATTGCAGAGTAACTTCCAAGAAGCTTCCTGGAAAGAATACGATTGGTATTAATAACTGCTAGATGTCCAATTAATTCAAATATAGCTACTCTTTTCTGTCACATGCAATTGCAACATGCATTTGTTTACAGGAAGCATAGAATTCAACATATGTGGAGCATTAAGTTTCCAGTAATAAAAGACTATTAAGGCTGGGCAATATGGCCAAAATAACGATATAAAAAGTTCATAACATTCAATACCGATATTGATCATGATAAATGTTGAATAATTATTTCTTCCAAGTTTAAAGGATGAATTTTTGCTCTTGAGTAAAAGTTGAAGAAACTAGATGGTTAATTGTGGTTTTAAACTTTTCTTTATGGTCAGAACCTGACAAACACTTGATGCCAGACAGTGGCTGACTTAACACATCTGCGGTAGAGCATTCAAAACAATTATGATAAAATCTTTTTTCAACAAATATGCATGAGTAAAAAAAGTCAAAAAAAATTTTCAGTCCATTTTCCTCAACAAAATAAATATCCTAATAATAAACTTCATTTTAATTAAGTACATTTGTTCGTGATTCTGATGAATTAAATCAAACAAACCTCCTGACACCCAGAAGAAAAAAATGTTTTTAAATTTTGATTTCGTTTACATAATTCCAGTAATTCAGATGTAAGAAACATGTCACAAAGATCTTTTTTTCCCCAAAAATATATTTCATATATGTTTTATCACATGTCCCTTGTAGGGGATATTAGGTCTAATTTGATGCAAAAAAATACATTGTAAGCCATAAATTTGCTTTCCATTTCTATTACAGTTATTTAATATATAACAATATAAAACTACTTTAAAACCGATTCATCATGGAAAATTCATATTTCATTTTAAGAAACCTTTTTTTAACAAAACAAATATTACTACCTTTTACAATGTGATGAACAAATCATGCGTGGTACATTAGAAAGAAACACGATGTACTTCACACAAATCACAAATATCTTCCTGTTTCATCCTTCTCTTCTGCACCTTAATATGACGATTAATACCAAAAATACGGAAAATCAGTGGAAGAAAGTCCCACCATCCCCTACAAAGCACATGGGCTTAAAAGTGTATTCAAAAAGTCTTAAAATTAACATACACCTCTAAAATCTTGATAATAATATAGTTAAGGCTTTCATACGGTACATAAAAAGCGAAAGCATTATCAACTAAACAAATTTTATCATTTGCCTCTCTTAGGGCCATAGAAGCTGGTTGGTGTGATTACCGCCATTTTGAAAAGACCTTTTAATCTGTTGGCCACACCCCCGTCTGTTTGACATCACTAAAAAGTCCAGGATGCACTCTACACAGTACATTAGGACTCAAAAACAGGTTATATGCATGGTGTTTAAATTTAGGCCCTTAGCGCCATTTGAGGACACAGAGGACAAAAATTAATTGCTGGGTGTCAGGAGCAATTGTTGTAGAACAATTGTCATATTGTTATTGAGGAAAATTATTACATTATTGTTTTATTACACATGCCTGACTACAATGACTACACAATAAACACAGTGTTTACTTAAGTTTCCTTTCATTTAAATTCCTATTTTCCCTTTAACCAACAGCAAATTACATTGTTCTTCCCAGGAAATAAGTAGGACGTTACCCTTTTTCTCTGACATATTCTGCTCTTTACTTTTGCTTTGTGAATTACTATATTTTTTTTTATAATACAGATGAAACAAACTGAGATGTTTGGGGGAGAAAATCACTCTCTGATTAAACTGATCACAATACAGGTGTACTGAACCCCTGTGACAAGGGCAAGCAGATACTTGTTGTTCAGATCCACTGGGTAAGAAATTCTTTAACAAGACTGGATAAACAGCAATATATCAGTGAGGAAATGAGCTTTAACTCTCAACTTTGTGAAGTCTTTGCTGAAGGGGACCACACACAATCAGACAACACTTCAGGGCATGTGTGAAACCTATGAGCAGTAAAATCAAACAGACTTCAGTAGGAACTACCCAAAAAAAGAGATTTAATGTGTTTGTAATGCAAATATTCATTTTGAGAGCAGGAAGATGATAAGAGCAGCGGCAAATCTACTCGCTCTGAACTGCAGCGAGGAATCTCAGAACAGAGGATTTAAGTGTTCGCAGACAAACTCAAAGCGACTGCGAGGAAGCGAGCGTCAGAACTCTTTGTGTTGTTACTATGGTGACAGAGAATAAATGCCTACTAGCCAAAAAGTGAGGCTGTGAGCAAACACACACACACACACACACGTTTGGTGAAGCAGCAGCATCAGCCGCAATAAGTGTGGAGACACACAAGTGAACCGCAAACAATGCTATCACATTCTGACACAGCTCTCAGTGGAGGTTAGGTAGGATGTGTGTGTGTTCAGTCTAAAAACAATACAGGGAAGGTAACTTTCACACACACACAACCCACTCCTGCCCCTGTCTGGACAGCTCCCTGATCATTGCACCAAAGGGAATCTCAAAATGTTCAGATATCACCAGGATGTTCAGGAAGAAAAATAATAAAGTTGTGCTTATTTATCCTTTGCCTCTCTATAGCAGCTCAGAGAAGAGGTGAGGCACGTTCAGACAAATCAAAGCAAATCATCCGCAGTGTCCAGAGAGCTGTGTAGGCTGGGGGCTTTAGAGGAGGGAGGGGGGCCTACCTTTGCAGTGGGTCACACGTCGCATCCCTTGTAAAAGGTCACAGAGAGAGACACAAGCACCAGGTGAGGTTGTAGCATGGCTTCCTCACATCCTGGTCTGTCCTAATATGAGTGCACTTCCTGTTTCCTGGCGTTAATGAACAGCAGCTTCTGCCCTCAATGCTCTTAATGAATCAGTGCTCCTTCCTTAATGGTCTAAATGAATCAATTCTCATTTCCTGCATGATGGTGTCCCACCCTCTGCTCCTATTTGGTGAATGATTTCATTTATTTGCCTACTTGCCCTTTTCCCCCTTTTGTTTAGTTGTCTACCAACGAAAAAAAACTCTGATTCAGGCATTTGTTCCTTTTTCTTTTAATCAACTGTTGTTTCTAACTATTCTTTGTAATGTAAAAGTGAAAAATGCAAACACATATGCTTGCATCACATATTGTATTAGCGTTTTATTGACAGATTTTACTGTCGCAATTATCATTTGTGTCACCTAGTGGTAGTTTATGTCCATGACACTGCCCTGATTATGCCGCCTTGCAGACTATTTATCTATAATTAATTAAATTGTCCAATAAGTGGTGTCCAGCATTAATAATTAACCCTGTGGCGCACTTTCTCCTTAGCATCCTACATTAGGTAGCAGCAGTCTTAGAAATATTTAAGGATACTCATTGCATTAACATTTCTACCTTGTAATCTGAAGATTTCACAAACAAACAGTGGTATGTATTATATATTTGCTTTATTGGACCTCAAACTAAAATAAAAATACTTAAGGTAGTTGTTACATGATGTGGGTCAGTAAGCTGCACACCATTTGAACCTTTCTAAATGCATCTGCCTCTCCAAGAGTGTGTGGAGTCTGGTTTAGCTAAGATACAGCCTAAACTGAAAAAAACTGTAGCCAAGTGTGTAAACCATTACATCAAATCAATAGCATGCTGGAGATGGAATTTCAGATCAATGTGTCTCCTGCTTTTTATTTAAAGAATAAATTGTGTGCGCGATGGTTCACTTGTCTTGTGTCCTCTGGAAATACCATACATTTTAATGGGTGGCTTGTCCTGTGCTTCTTTAGCTCTTAATTCTTTAAATTAGGTCTTCTAGGTTACAAACATCACATAAAAGATTTTTGCTGTAAAGGGAAATTCTAGTGTTTTCAACCTTATTGTCTTATTGTTCTTATTGCCATAGTAACTACAGGTAAAGCTAACTTTGCACTTACCACCTCTGTCACAGAGATTCTGAAAGTATGAACTCCAAACAGACAATGGGCGTAAAGCTTCGCAAGGCTTTTTCAAATACATTTAAGTTTCAAACATTTGTTAGGCTACTTTGGTTAGCTGCAAATTTGCCATCATAGATCCCTGTACAGCTAGTCCATGAGTCAATGTTATGTGTTTCAGTTGGAGTCAGAGACAAGTGTTTGAAATGTAAAAGTTAGGTTGATTTGGAAAGCATTATGTTGGTTTCACACAAAGTCAACGCAAAGACGTGGAGGGATGCGATTTCCTGGCAGGTGGCGCACTGGATGTGATGGAGGCGATGCGAAGCGCTCAACCGTGCAAAAAAAATCTCCATATTTTTAACTGAATCGTCAAATTCACATGCTGCAGTGTCGCGATTGCCTATCTGAGTTGAGACTGTCCAGACGTGTTGTGTGTGGAGGACAGGGACACCAGGCAGGAGGAGCTCAGAGTGAATTGCTTTTGTTAACTTAATTTTTTACTGTAGTTTTTGGGATTAAAACACTGATTTATGTTCACTTACGCTTCTGAGCAGCGAGCTACCGTGTTTCTGGCCCCATTGTTGTTGTTACAGCTCCCTGAGCTCTGTGGGACAACTTCATATCATATTTTGGGTTCATGCAACTGTACTAGTACAGTACAACTCGTGCCAGTAGTCCAGTGATCAAACTCAAGCGGAAATAAACGGAATGGGAATTTAACATTTGCGTTGTGTGTGAAACCGGCATTAGAAGGCTTGGCACAATATACTGTACTCCACGTCTCTCAGTGTCTACACAGTTGTGCAAAGTTTTCATGACCCATAGTCGGGATGGCCACACTAGAGCAAGTATGAAAAATATCTGGAAATTGGCCATTAATTTAATTTAAATGAAAAAACAACAACATTGCACACAAATAAAATTCAATTTAAACTTCAGAGAGAACTTATTAAAAAGAAATGATGAATGAAAGTGTGGATGTGAAGATGTAGTAATAGATGAAGTTGAATGGTCACTTGTGAAGGAATGAATCATGGAAGCGATGAATGATTGACACTGATCATGTTTAAGACACAAAACCACATAGAGAAGCCCTCAGTGGTCCTCTGTGTACAGAAAACAGTTCAAAGCACTGACTCATATTATTATTATATTATGTCTTGTTTTGGGAATATACAAAAGATAAATTATTCTTTTTTTGTTAGTATTTATTAACCGACACAGGGAGCCACTGAGCATTTGGCGTGTAATGGCTCTCAGTGGGTTGTATCATAGAATGAAACTATCATAGCTGTCAGGCTACAGAGCCATAAAAGAGCCTCTAGGTCTTACCTGCATTGAACACTGGATCCCTCTGTTTGCTGCAAAGTAAATGAGTAAACAGACAGCTGTCATTCAGAATCCTGTTTCCAGATAAACCATTGTATGTTTTGATTTGAAAGTGCTTTACAAGGAGATCAGTGGGTTTTCTGCTGGAAAACAGCCTCCTATCTTGTGTTGACAGAAAGCATCATTGACCATGAAGATGAACGTGAGAGCCACTAACTGGGAAAGCTAATTTGACGTGATGCCCATGTTACCTGTCACTCTTTTTGCCACTGGAATTGCTGCCGGTGGATCCGGCGCGGGTTCGGTTGCCCTTGGAGTCGCCCGAATCTTTCCTCGTAAGAGTTCCCACATGTTCGTTTGAGTTGGCTCTCCTCACAGTGCTGTGGTGAGAGGGAAGGTGGACAGAGGCAAAAAGAGACAGGGGGGAGGGGGAAGCACAAGAAATAGGTCAGAAAACTACCTGACTCTGCTTTTCTGAAAAAAAAGCCCTCTGGTAAAGTTTTTATCCAGAAAGTAAGTTTTGAAAGCATGTAAAAGGAAGATTCATTTTATGATTCAGCTCAGATCTGCCTCATATTTGAAAAAGAAGTGTGACTCTACAACAGTGTCAGAGAGAATTTGCATCAAAGTAAGAGAGAAATAAAGAAATGTGGATATTTGTTGTTTCCTCACACTTCCTTACACTCTCTCTTCCTCTACTCGGGTGATCACAACTACAATGTCAGTACAGACCTGGGCAAATCTGCATATTGGTGGTATAGACAGCCTGCTTATTCACAACAATGAAAAGGCTCTATCAGCAATCCAATGGCCAGTAGGCCCAGTCACCTAATCCACCCTAGGGGAGAAAAGTCTATTCAAATCCTAAAACTGGCCGGTGGCCGTTATCCCTTCTGGAGAGCCTGTGTGTGTTTGTTCAGTATAGAGCAGATTAGAATAGATAGGAGAGAGAGAGAGAGAGAGAGAGAGACAGAGAGAGAGAGAGAGAGAAACTGTTGTTTGCTATGTTATCCCACGAGGAATCATAGTAATTGGGCCACAGGGCATTGGGGATGGCTGTTGTGTGTACGCCAGCACTGATGGGACTGTGACCAATATGCAGTGTAGATTCATCTCAGACACAGACAGTAAACAACAAAACAGTCACTGACAATGTAAATAAAAAACAGTGAATATTAGCAATGAGACAAATGGTGAAAAGAAAATGTAATGTTGACTGATTTAATAACGGAAAATACTGGTTAGCATGCATCGACGCTGTGATGAGGTGGAGATGTTATATTGTGACCAGTATATTGTAATTTGGCGATCCTCTCACCTGAGGGGCAGGTAGAGGATTCTGGTTGCGCGAGACAGAGAAGACAAACTGGACAGATTGGCAGGACATCACATTGTTGGTGGACAGGACATAAACAGGATATACAACATCATAGTTGGAAAGGACAGAAAGAGGACATGCAAGACAGGAAAGATGAGAAAGACGGTGATCGGTCAATCAAGTTAAATCTCAATAAATCAAGTCAAAGTCCGTCTTGCCAGCTCACAGATACTTATCTAAAATTAGGAGATTTTTATGAAGAGAGTTGTGGAATTCGCAGAAAAGCTGCAACTGCTGCAATTTAATATCAAGAAGATGTCGCTAACATTTTGAATTTTATGTGTACGTAAAACTTCAAACCCTCCATTTAGCACAGCAGCAAGAAAATCCATTAATTTGCTTCAGTTATATCCAAGCAGACAATCTTGTGCTGCGTTTAAACAATCTGGAGGGAATTAAAAATGCATACAGAAAAGGTATTTTATTGGCTCATTCAAGGATTTCTTACACTCAGTACATTTAAATATGTCAACTCAAAGGCAAAGGATTCAGCATTTCTCAACTAGAATTTGTTGTAGGCGTTTGGAGAATGCTTTGAAACAGCACCAAAGCATTTCAACCTCCACGTTGGAAAGATTAAAGAAAATATAATTGAGCAGAGATTCAGAGATCTTTATTTCTGAGGGGGTTGCATTAGTGGAGACTTGGGGTCATGACTTTGGTATTTCTAAAATTCTGGCTACAACAACGTATCCAAGCAAAAAACTAGTCTGATAAAGTGCAAGTTATCTAAAAGTCACATTGCTTTCGAGTACAAGTTCAAGTTCAAGGAATCAAAAAGTACAAAGAGTCAGTTAAGCTTGAAGCACAACCAAACTCCATGAGCAACAAGGAAATACACAAGACCAAATCACATTTCCTGCATCGATGCTGCTTGGGGTTTTGGGTTTGTTCCTATCAACCGTCCTCATGCTGGTTCAATCTGCAGAGCCACTTCTTTACTGTCCTCTCCAGTAAACCTCAAGGTGAGACTCAGTGAGCATTAAAAGTATCAACTCTCAGTATTGGAAAACACCCCCCGAGCAGAAATAAACACATGGAAAAGAAGGAAAAAACACCACCGGGGAATTCACAGCTACTTGGACTGAAGCTGGTCTCTGCTGTCTGCTGAGCTTCATCTGATTATTATAATGTCAACCAGAGATGGGAAAAGGCTTTTGTGCCCAAGACAGACAAGATTGATAACCTGTGCTCCACATGCATAGTATAAACACACACACACACACACACACACACACACAGAGAAGCAGAGACAGTGATGACAAAACTGTTCATCAGCCTTGTCAAATGTCAGTGGCTTTGGCTGATAAAAAGACAGAAATGTGACGATTTATGGCTCAAATGATCTGACGTGGCACAGACGGACAGGACAGAAAATGTGTCTCGAGACATATAAAATGTCTGCAACAAATGATGTGATACATGCAAGTTGTCATAATCTGGCCTTCACGCAGCTTATATCTGGATCTAACACGTTTACAATAGTGTTAACAAGGCACGAAGGTTCAGTAAAGCAACGCTACAAAATCTTCCATACAAATGTGAGTGCACTCCTTAAAATATTATAGAATAATACAGTATATTGCACAATTATTTAAGTGGAAAAGGATTATGTTTCTTTTCCTCACCTCTTGGTGGCTGGTGTGCTGGCGTCCTTCCTGGATCCAGATCCAGATGGGGAGGGCAGAGTCCCGCTGCCTTTCTTTGGTAGGATGGTCCCGTTGTTTACTGTGGGCCGCAACGGCAGGGTGGCAATCATTGGCCTGGCTGGGAGAAAAAAAGACAACAGCAGGGCTTGTTCAGAAAAAAAAGACAAGACTAGTATCAACTGATGCGGCATCATTAAAGTAACATGTGAGATTGAGCAATTACTGAACACTGGTCAGAAAAATGGCATTACCTGCTGTGTAATATTATCTTGATAATTTGTGGAAAGAGGTTATAATCTGTATAAAACTGTAGGGTAGGTGTAGTGGAAAGCCTTCCAGCATGCACAGGGGTAACAGGTTTATGGAATAAGAGGAGCTTTCTCTTTGTTTGTTGTTGGTTAATGCAATAACAATAGTAATAAAAACTTAAATTGAACCGTAACACTTTTATTTTTTCCATACACCTCATAAAATACTCCCTCGGCATCATGAGCTGATATGAGGGTTCAAAGAGATTTTATTGCACAGTATAATATATCATAAGGATAAAAGGCAGCACGAGCCTATTCCAGAAAAATCATAATGTAATCAAAATATGAATAAGCCAAACTTAATGTATTTTTTTCTCATTTTTATTTATTCTGTATCAATCACTGTTCCATACACATGAAATGTACAAATTACTTGCAGCAGGTGGTTTGACAAAATTAAAGGGGCACGGGCACACACACACACACACACACACACACACACACACACACACACACACACACACACAGCCCAGAATAACAAATCCAAGCTGCAGCTTTATCTGCAGTGATGAATATTTAATAGACCCTGTTCATCTAGCAGACACACACACACACACACACATGCATGGTCAGGCCTGCACACACATACTGCTCTGTTATCTTTCATGTAGTAATTATGCAGAAGGGGACAAACTGAGGTTATAATTTTGTTAGCATGTTAAAGAAGATGAATGTGTTTCTGTGTGTCCACGGCCGTCCACATGCTGTCTGCGTGTTAAGCTTTCTAAAGCAGATCACTGTGCTTCAGCATAGGGGAGCAGGCTGCCAGCTCCCTGCAGCTAAAAGTGGAGAACAATAACGGAGAGCAGCTCTGAGTCATCCTCCAGCGCCCAAATCAAACTGAAACTTTATCCGTCCACAGTCACTCCGGAGACTGAAGCTGAATCCTAACCTGTTTCACCACTCAAATGCACATTTGAGGATATAAAAAAAACAACTTAAAGTGCAGATGATTTCACATGCAGACTTCATCAGTCTCTTGGGTGGAGATGCTATTTAAGAGACAGTTTGTGTCAAACACATCTCAGCGGAGAATCGACACATGCAGTTTTGTTAATTAATAAAAGCACGACAAAAACCGAAACTAGTATCATCGATCATGAATAAATGTTTTCATAGAAAAGCATTCAGCTCTTTGAATAATACAAGGTGAAGGCTTTCACAAAAAAAGAGTCTGCAAGTATAAAAGCATAAGTGAGTTAATGGTTTGAAAGGAATTTGCTGTTGATGTGATGTTCAGTGTTTTCTTATTCTCTCACTCTGTCTGTTCAATATAAAACTATAGCCAGCAGCCGTTTGCAACCTGGACCTTATTTCCTATGTTTTTTTGTCTTTGTGACTAATTGTGACATTTTTTGAAATTGGTCCAGTATTGTGCGAGCATGCTGCAGTTGGCAGCAGCAAGACAGGGCTGCAACGTAATCCTTGCAGGCAATTAAGCCCAGTCAAAGTACATCCAAAGTGTTTTTGTAACTGATGGGCTCATATTGTTATTATAAGTGTCTGACAACATTATGGAAAGGATCCCCACAGACTTTTTTATAAAGAGTTTGATCATTTTTGTTTAACCAGAAACAGTCACTATATCGCTCTCATCAAAGCCACCAGCCTCCCTTGAGTAAAACAGTAATTTTACCCCTTCTTTGGTGTTTTTAATAGTTTAAAACACATTGAAGTCACACAATAATATAAACAAAAAACAACAACAAAGACACACTAGCACAAACAAACGTACCTAAAAATGTGGTCCCAATTAGTCACACAGACACTAAAACTTGGGAAAATGTTCAGGTTGAAAAAGAAAAGAAATTACCCTTTAACAATGAATTTAACTATTTCAGACTCAGATGACATGTCCATTGACCTCAGGCAGTGCAGTACTGAAAGTAACTGTGTGTGTCCTAGTGAAATACTATACTACAACATAACACTAGCAGGCAGTGACTGAAATGTGCTTTTTGTAAACACAACACCAGGCCTGGTTAGTGCAGACAGACTTCACAGTCAGCCTACCTGGCTTCCCAACATTGCTGTCTGCTGAGGGAGACTTTCTCATCAAAGAAGGGTCTATACAAATAACGCACGACACGTTTAATGACACAAGAGGGGAAGGATGGACAGGAGGGAGAGAAAGAGGAGATTGACAACTAGTCAGAGGAAGGACATAAGCAAGATTTGGAGAGGAGACATTGTTAGGAAAGAGAACCAAGTGTAAAAGGAGAAAAGGAATACCTTCAACAAAGTGCGTGTAAGCCAGAATGCGTGTGTGAAACATCCCAGAAGAAGTAACTGACAAAGCCGATGCCAAGAAAACATGCTTATGTATGTTAGTTACCTTTGGTGGGTCCTCTGCGTGACCCCATGGCCTGCTGCTCTTCAGACGCGTTGAGTCGGCGCACCACGTCAGCTAGAGCAGATTTTAGCAGCTGAATCTCGTCTTCTTGCATCTGGACCCTCTGCTCCAGGGAGGCGATGCGGTCGGTCACCTCCATACTGCTGGCTGCTGACGCACTGTCATCTGAGGAAATACAGAGATGTGGAAAATGTCACAATGCTGATATATTAGGCATAGAGTGGCTTTTTAAATAAAGCAAATATACCCTGAACAAAATTATAAACGCAACACTTCAGTCAGTGCTGCAGGGTGAGTTGCTAATAGAACATATTCTCTTTGAAGGAAAAGTTCAACATTTTGGGAAAAATGCTTATTTACACATGTTTGTGTGAAAAGCTCCAGCCACACTGGGTTTTATACGAATTAAACAAACAAGATATAACATGTTAACTAGTGAGCTTTAGAGGTGACTATAAGCAAATTTAGTTACTTTCAGGCGGGGCAAGATAGGTGTTTCCTACTGTTTCCAGTCTTTATGCTAAGCTAAGCTAACCATCTCCTAGCTGTAGCTATAGAATCATATTTACCTTACAGAGTGGTATCAATCTTGTAACTCTCAGCGAGAAAGCAAATAAGCATCCCAAAATGTCAAACTATTGCTTTAACATATTCCGTTGCCCCGGGATTTAAGTCTGACCGATACATTGAGAGGTGAGTAATGTCTGATATCAGCTTATCACACATATCATCTGGGCGTATATTTGCAGATATACAAATAATAGTACAGGAGATTTATAGTCAGCAATTTTATGTATTTTCAAGTTTAAAAGTTTTGGAGTGTATGAGTATTAATTTATAGTTATTATTCAATTTGTCTTTTTCAAGGCTCACCAATAATCAAATTATAGGGATCCTAGCCAAAAAATGCAGTGTTTGTGTTAAATGTAATATAGGGAGGTATATAACTATTACCCATCCTGACTTTTAATTCATGCAGATAGACAAAAAGGGATAAAAAAGAAAAGGCACAAACAGTAAATTCCTTTCAAACCATTAACTCACTTATGCTTTTATACTTGCATACTCTTTTTCTGTGAAGAGCTGAATGCTTTTCTATGAAAACATTTATTCATGATCCTGATCCTTTAAATGTCTGTCTGCCAGTCCTTTGAGTTTAAGCTAACTTAACACATTATTATCAGCTCTCCACCTGATACCCCAATAGAGGCCAAGCACTGGCCACCAGGGCCCAGTTCATTAATGATAACACACGCACACACGGGGTCTCCTCCATTAAAACTTTGATGTCACAGTGGCTTGATGAAATATTAATGTAAATCACTGCTGTGTTTTCCCTGTAGACTCACAATAACAGTCTGATGCATTATGCATTAGAGAGCAGGCATCTGGTGATTAGGCAGATCTGCAGTCTGTGTTCCTTCTGAGAATCTGAGCTGAATCCCGACTGCCTGGAAACACTATGGAAATATGAGGAGCTCTTGACTTCTGTAAATAACATCCTCAAACAATCAAGTACAACCGTTTAAACACATTGAAATGTGTGATATGTGTCTGAATTCAGATGATCTGGTGAAAGCAAAGTGGTGTGATAAGCCTCCGAGTCTCTTAGATAAACAAAAACTGCTAAGGGGATTCAGGACAACCTCTGACCAGAGCCTCTCCCCAAACATTTGCTTGTAGCTAAAAAGATCCTTTCAGCGTACGGTATCTTTAATTCCAAGAAAAGTTCAATCATTGCTGCAATAAGACATATTATATATGTCTGCGACACAAGAGATAACTTGTTAACAAATGTGATTTTCCAATTGAGCAGCAAAGGTGTTTTAACTATCATAATATCGAGCTGATGTTTGTCACTAGTCTTACTCAACAAATGATTAATATACAGTAGATTAGTTACGGTTGGCAATATATATATTTTTTTTATCAATTAAAAGTAACTATTTCAAGTAACTGTTATTGTAATTTTTTTAATTATGTATATTAAGGTAAAAAAACAACAACCTGCAGTCCGACTTTTCAAGCAGACACATATACATGTATAAATAATTATTAAAATAACATGATACTTGAGTCTTAATCCACACTTAATTAGATACATGTATTTATGCATCACAGCAACTATTCAGAAGTACATAATCCTATAAGGTCCAATGAAGTCATTTTAATTTAATTGGCAGAACATGCCGGAAAAGCAATTTCACAGATTTGTTTATGAGTGGACAAATTTCATTAGTGAGCTGGCTATGAATGGTTTCAGTCGGGGGAGACCTTCAATATGACAGGATGGTAAATTGGTGCATTAGGCAGATGTGACACTTGACGATTGTAGCAGAAAATGGAAATCAACCAATTATTGTTCACACAGAAACGAACCAGCTATAGGTATGTATACACATACAGAAGTGTCCTCCAGTGCCCCTTTTTATTTGTCTGGAATCCATTTAGTCACTGTCACAGCCATTACTGGTGTTTTGTGATTAATACACCCATAGATTTCACTGAAACACTGCTTCACATTGATAATGCACCAGCCCACCCAGTGAGATACTATGATGAAAACGCCCCATCTGAAGAAATGGAGTCAGATGAAAACTGCAGGTGCACAATCTAATACATTACACTCCCAGCAGTGAAGTAAAATGAGAAATATGTCTGCTTTAGTTTATACACTCAAACACAGACTTGCAGACAGATTTCCCCTCAAAGGAAATGCTTTCTTGTTTCATAACGTGCAACGACAATCTTACTTCTTCCTCTGAACACACACTGACAAAGCCTCTTCCAGAGATAAAACTGGATCTTAATAACTTTCTGCTCACCTGAGACACTTTCTTTGAAGCAGCCCTTCATATTCACATGTGGGTCACAGAGGGAAAATCCAGAGATAAAGCTCCTATTATCTGTTCAGCATCTGCTGTGGGTCTGCTCCCAACACTGACACAATGACAGCATGATACCATCAGTCGTTGAAGTACAATGACTGGCTGTCACGGCCGTGATTTCCCGGCTCTGCTCCAACATCCTCCGTCTGTCACTCCGCTCCCCCTGTGAAAACCTCTGGGGCAAGTTAACGCCCAATAACACGTTCGTAGACGGGACGAAAATTTGGAAAGGTCAGTGGAGTTTAGGTTTGGTGTTTGTTTTCATACAGAAGAATGTGTGTTGATGGTGCAACTCTGATGTGACTGTGGCACAGTCGGTGTGGTTTTGGCTAAATTTCCCCTGGATGTGACAGCACCCTCTGGGGCTCAGGTCACGTGATCTCTAGCCAGACAGTCAGAATTAGTAAAATGTCAATCTTCATTTAACAACACATACACCCCTGGATACTCATGTCTCTCTTTCATCTCCACATAAGCAGATCATTACACCCCACCAATCTCCCCTTGCTCCAGTGTATTATTCACACCTGTCAGCTGGCTGCTTCAATTACTTCATTTCTGTCAGTCTTCTTCAGCTTCTCTCTGACGGTCTTCTTTCTGTCCCCGTTTCATTATCTGGTCAATATGTGGCTGGGTCACAAATCCGAGACGGATCTCTGAGCCTATCTATCTGCTCGCTCTAATGCATCGTGACACGCTGCTCCCTATTACCTTCCTCTGCGAGGCAATGTCATTCTGGCAGGACCACCTGTCTGTTTAAGTGCTTGTCCATCACTTCAGCCATGGGAACTTAGTAGGGGGCAAATAGAAAACAGGCACTCTCCTCCATTCATTTTTCCTGCTCTAAAATAACCACAAGACTCTCATCTCCACCTTAATTCTAAGTCATTCACTGTACTCAATATCAAACCATTTCCCCCCCTCTGCACTCTCACCAAACACAAAGATCAATAAACTGAAGGAGTAAAAACCCAACTGAAATAGTCCTGCGTAAATTCTTCTGATGAACATGGAGAGAGCCCTCTGAGCTGTCTGGCTTTCTAGGTGACTCACTCCTTCATTGGGACATTTAAAGACTTCCACTTCCATATAGCTACTAAATAAACACACATGTGAGGATGTGAATATAAATACACATTCAAGGAATAAAAGAAAATGACGTTAAGGAAGTTCCCTCTGAGGAAATGTCATGATTCCAGCTGTCTGACCATGTGTTTGAGCGCTCCTGCACACTTACCTACTGACAATGATTGATAGCTATTTTCTTTTCACTCAGCTCTGTGCAGAGAAGCCAAACAATAAAGCTAAACTGGCTTGATGGAAAGTTCAGCGGCCAGGTTAAGCCATGCCACAATGTGGGTTTTTGAAAAACCACAACCAATGTTTGCAGAAGACCAACCGATCAAAGAAACAAGAGGCTGCAGGAAATGGCCTGTCACAACATTGTGGCAACGATTCCTGTTTTTCAGAGACAGAAAGGGAGCACTGATACCACGCTACTCGCACATCTATCTACTTGCTGGATGCAGATAGCAAACATCGTTTGGCCAGCTGGTTTTAATTTCATAACATGAATGCACACAGCCAGGTGGTGTGCTGCTGCAGCGCCAGTTCAGCTGCTGCACATTATGCCGTAAGGAAAGCCATTTCTCCCTAGACCAATGAGTCACACTTATTAAACAACCTGACTTCAGTCTGCTGCTAGCTTTACTAACGGAAGTCTGGACCTAATTATAATCAAGAGGCATACAGAATTTAATTTCATGCCAAAAGGAGGTAGTGATTTAGAGATAGGCAGGGAGAAATGTAAAGGGACAAGATGGATCTAGAATTGAATGAGACTGAAACAAGGTGGTCAGTGAATAGCCTTGATAATAAAAAAAGACTAAGAGTCTACAGAAATGCCAGCAGTTCTGGGATTATGTTTAGCAGGGGTGTGACAAGATAAAACATGCTGATATTTCTCATCAGGGAAAAACCTGTCTCACGAGACTCACGCATCTGACACTTTTCACACGCTGTCACACCACACATTAATTTTCTCACACAGTGAAAAACAAATGTATAACTGATAACGTCGACCTGCTTCACGAATCATCTCTCAAACCTCTGACGTTGACAGTTTTTGACTGAATGGTCGTTTTGCAATGTAAACATCTAAAAAATGAAGTGCAACCTTGCTCTGGGACTGTGAACTGCACTTTATCGGAGGTGCTGAAGTTAACATGTGAGTGGATTTGTGGTGAGGTTTCTGCCTGATTAGATGCATTCTCTGTT